GAAAGTTCTTCGAATGGTCGCTTGTGGAAGAAGGTATGCCAAGGGGAATTGAAGCTTTTGTAAAAATTGCTGCTAGGAAACATATCCAGATCTTCAAAACCAAAATCCGTTCCTCCGAAAACAGAAGTTGTATCAGAGGTCTGAGCAGTTTCTAAAATGCATTACCTTTGCAGAACTCGTTACAGTGCTAGTGCAAATTCTGAGAAATACCTCTTGCGTATGAGCGGGCCATGTTACGAACAGTGATGCGAGGATGATAGCGTGGTTGTAGACGCTAAAAGGAAGCTATTTATCACTTGCAAAACTGATTCTGCATGTCTCTCCGCTGAAATCCACTTCTCAAGCATCACAAATACTTACACTTCGAACTCCTTTTGTAAGACTTACATAAGCATTCCGGTAAGTTCCGTATGGTCTCGCCACTGTCGTTGGAGCAACATACGATGGTAAGTAACCGGAGTAGGACTGATACGCTGGAGAATGATATGAACGCCGAGGTTGAGCGATGTATGCATGAGGAATTGGAGTGATATAAGTCATCTTAGGAGCTGGTACATATGCAGTTGGTTTTACAAGTTGCACTTCGTCTGTATAAGTAACTGCAGGAGATAGTGATGAGACGTAGCGATGTTTCAGCACTGGTCTGCGATATAAAGGAGGTGGCGGTGGTGGTGGAGGTGGCGGTGGTGGTGGAATGAGGGGTAAGGTAGCACCAGCGTAAGCTGAAATTATGTGCTTATGTCTCAAAATTCACTTTTCGTTTTTGAACTTTAAAGCAAGAAACAAACCGTTTTCTGTGGGCTCCACATAACCAGCAAAACTTCTGAAATCGCTATAATAGTATTCCTATATTACCTGGCTGCGAAAATATGTATTGAAAGGCGAACCTTTGGATAAAAAGAAAAGTGATTGAAGATAGTAGTTGGAACTGCATGATTGTATGTAATGAAGTACAGAGGACACTCCGTACTCCTTTATATCATTGCCGCAAATGATGGTGGTTGCTAGCACCAAAAAA